ACCATTTATATGGCCGCCCAACTCAGTCACAGTGACTCCAGGCGGCTTACAAAAATAAAAACCCCAATACAAAACCCACTTCACCCCCCACCACCACCACCATGCTGGCAACAACAATACATTTACACTAGCCATTTGATGGGCTCTGGGTCGACCTGGGATCCCCAGACCCGCTGGCACAGCCATGTCCTCAGGGCCTTGCGGATCAAACTATTGAAGGGGGTAATACAGAGCTATTCAACTGAAAACAGCAATTTTAAAATGAGAATTAGAAAAGAAAACATAATGTTCCAGACTAACCACAAGATGTTGATGGTCTGCTAAAAATAAATAAAACTCATTATAAAGAGATTGAGGAGGGATTTCAAATTATTATTCCAAATCACAAAAAAATCTAAGGAGAAATACTTTCCTCATGTACAACCTGAAATATGCATAAAATGTTGAAGGACACCCAATTACTGAACTTGCACGTGCGTGCACACACACACACACACACACACACACACACATGAAGACAGGACAAAGGTCTGCAAACATTTCTTTAGATGAAGTTGAGCCAAAACAGGGCACCTTTTGAAAGTTTTGTAGAAGGTTATCATATGCTTGGGAAATCTGATTATAGGAACAACACATATTAGGGCAAGCTTACATAAATAAAGTGAGAAAAAAAGAAGATACTGGAGTAGCTGCATACAAAAAGTGTAAATGGATAGCTATGGCATCAGAGGCATCTGGAACCAGCCACAATGGCCTCAAAATCACAGTTGCAAAGGTGTGAACCAAGCCCCACCCCTTTTTTACACATATAAAAAGGGGTGTGGCTTCAGTCACACAGTTATGACCACCATATCAACTTTTCTACCCCTCCCTTGCCAATAACACAATCCCAATCTATTCTGAATTTTAAAGTGCCATAAGGCAATCACAGTTGGCTATAGTTCCCCAAGCCCCTAGATATCTCTGTGAATTCTCTAAACCATACCTGCTTTATTTTCAGACAAGAAGTAATTCAGATTAGTTGCTTGTTCTGTTCCTTTTTCATTTTCTTGCACCATCTGATTTTTTCCCCTTCTCGTTCATTTATCAGTGACTTGATTATTACTATGTACAGTTTTTCATCCTTTTTATGCATTAACAAGAAGTGACCTTGCTTTTCAAAAGGAGTACTGTCACGTTAAATGGCCTTCTATTTATTTTATTTTCCCAATCTCTGTAATCCCCTTTTCATATGTCATAAAAAAGAAAAATTATTGTATCATCTTTTTTTTTCTTTGGCATGCATATAGCTTTTGTGGAGAAAATGTAATTGAATTGGAATGGAGGATATTTCTTTAAGTATGAGTACATTTGTGTCATGTGGTGTGAAATATTAAATATTGATTTCCCTGTTCCAATGACCTTCTAATGTATTTGATGTCCTCTGCTGGAACTCCAGATTATTGCACTTCATTGGTTCTCTGCTTTGCTATGATTTTCTGGATTCATCCTTAACCCTTATTCAGCAAAAAGATTTAAACGTGCGTTTGCAGCATTCATGATAGACACATTTAACTTTCAAAATGAAAAGTATCTTATACATGGATCTTAAGTAAAGGAGTACGCAGGGGTATCTGCAGGAGGGGGAGGTAAAAAAGTCAAGATGGCAGCTAAAACCATGCAGTCAAAGCCTTGCCTCCTTTTTACGTTGTCAAGCATGTGACAAGCATAAAATGCAGTGGGGCTTCAGTGCAGCTGCCATCTTGACTTTTTTAACCACCACTTACCAGAAGCCTCTAAGAATATTCTTTTCTGTGTTCAGTGAAAATGAAGTTTAACTTCTGTGAAAAGGGATGTGCCTGAGTGGAAACAACCTTCACTTTATCCACAATGTAGTTGTTATTCTTCAAACTGAATAAGAAAACATAAATGTCATTAGCTTAGAACTAACTAAGGCAAAGTGTACGTTTTTTATTCTTGAACTATGGCATAACTATTCACATCAAAAGCCACCTTCAGGTCTACTCAGTGGCCATTATATCAGCAGTGCAATACATCTCCTTCCCTACCCTAATGGAGAGGCTGCTTCTATAGAGGTTTCTCCCTTATTAGATTGGAATAACTGCCTTTATTTAGGATCTGTACAGAAATTTAACTTAATTAGAGTATAGAACTGATATGTTGTATTATCCTGAAATGTTAGCGCAATGACATAAATTATTATTGTCATGAAATAAATTTTAGTCAATTAGGCAACATGCTGCTACACTTCAAGGGCATCAATAGATTTTTGGAAAGAAGGATGGCACTAATAATATGATTTGAAATATTTCTAGAGCTGTAAATGAAGGCTGGAAGAAGAATGCAGTCAATTATTCTTCACATGACATTTTTTTCATCCTGTGCAGTGCTTTGAAGGGTCTCAGTTTTAATTAAGGCGGCTGCCTTGAAATTCAACCAAACCGTAATGTTCATGGGATAACCTTGATCATTTACAACACAACACAATGAGATGATCTACTTGTTTTTGGGTCGGTATTTATATTATACTAAAGACAAGTGATTCATAACAGTAATAAATGGAATTAGATGAAGATGTTTTATACTGATGTTTTATACTGAGTCATACCATTGGTTTATTTACTGTTCAGTAATGTCTATATTAATTAGGCATCTTTCCAGGTTTTCAGACAAAGACTTCCTAGATACATTAGGAATCACTGAGGGGAAACCTCCAATTTGCGAAGAGCTAGATGTAGCATCATCATGATGATGATGATAGGTGGAAGAAATCCCTTGATCACTTCAAGCATGTTTTTAAAGTTCATAAGATACAGATTACATCTCATGAATTTGAAAAGCCAAACAAAAAATGGTCAGAATAGAAAATGGAACAGGCCTACCCCAGTCCACTTATCATTGTTCTGAACCAAGAGGTTCTGTTTAATTAACAGCAATTTATGGGGCTATAATTTACCCATATGCATATATTCCTCTTCTAAATCACAGAACCAACTGCTGGCATCATATCCTGTGCAAGAATTCGATCACTTCATTGTAAGGAGAAATACTTTCCTCATGTACAACCA